GCTTCTTCCTTTGAGCCACACTTCGGGGATGTCTTCTGTAAGGCAAATGGTTATGACCGAGGGCGTGTTCTGGAATCAAAATGATGCAAGTAAAGTTGAAAAGGAATTTCAAAATTACAGGAAAGGAGCTATGAGGGTAGAGAGGGTGGGTTTAATATACAAATAAGGAAACTTCGTGGATTGGGGAAGTCATTGGATGAAAATAATGAGGAAGTTGGAGGCTTAAACAAGAATAAACAACGTCTAGAAAGTTAGAGGAGTTTGGAGGTCACTTTTGGCTTCTGCAAATATCCTGTATATTATTTCACTACTTGGGGGCTTAAAGTCATTCTCATTAAAAGAGGATAAAGGAACACTAAAACCAGCCTATCTCATCTGATGTTTTCGGGTTCGTTTGTTTTTATTATTTTTGGTTTTTTTAGAGACAAGTTCTTGCTCTGTTGCCCAGGCTGGCATGCAGTGGCATGATTATAGCTCACTGCAGCCTTGAACTCCTGGACTCGAGCAATCCTCCCACCTCAGCCTCCTGAGGTGCTGGGATAATAGGCATGAGCCACCATGCCTAGCCAGTTTTAGTTTAGTTTTTTTTTTTTTTTTTTTTTTTTTTGGGACAGGGTTTCACTATTAGGCCCAAGCAGGCTTAACACGCTTTCACTTAATATGCTAATACAGTAATCAGCATTTGGACAAACAGTTGGCTAAACATATAAATAATAATCTAAACTCAATATAATAATTTACAAATCATTTAGGGATTCTAAATAGGACACAGTCACCTATTAGCTGAATAATACATAGCTTGTGTATAGCCAACTACGTCTTTATGCCAGTCTTTCTGGATTGGAGATATTATGGATTTGTGTTGGAGTAATAAATGTAGCCACTAACATTTTAGATTAGCACTTTTAAGCCCCAAATAAAAAAGGATATGTGTTGATTAGGGTTGTATCTTTACAACATTCAATGAAGTTATTCTTGGCATCCTGTTTTGGAAAATTTGGATCTGCACTTGTAGGTATGTTTATATGTCTTCTTTAAATAGAAGATTTCATGGTGTGTGTGTGTGTGTTTAATTTCTTCTCATAAGGCCTAGTGATATATGGGTGCTCTTCAAATATTCATTTTATAACAGTTTAAAAATCTCAGTAATGGTCTTGATCTCCTGACCTTGTGATCCACCTGCCTCGGCCTCCCAAAATGCTGAGATTACAGGCATGAGCCACTTGTGCCTGGCTAACGTGGTGAAATCCCACCTCTAGTAAAAATACAAAAAAAATTAGCCTGATGTGGTGGCATGTGCCTGTAATCCCATCTATTCGGGAGGCTGAGGCAGGAGAATTGCTTGAACCCAGGAGTCAGAGGTTGCAGTGGGCCTAGATTGCACCACTGCACTCCAGCCTGGGCATCAGAGTGAGACTCTGTCTTAAAAAAAAAAAAAATTGGTCTTTGTTCCTTCTCCACTCCCACTGCTTCACTTGACTAGCCTGTGAAAAAGAAGAAGAAAAAAAGTCGGTAATGTAGAACGGGTACCTAGTACTATTGAATTAAATTGGAAAGCTCTGCATTTTTATTAAGGAGAAGCTTCACCAATTATTTAGAATGAATTGCTCCAAGATTCTCCATTTGCTTTCATGTAGGAAGACCCTATCAAAGGGCTTGGACATCGTAGTTGTTTCTAATTTATGGATGGAAGTATGATGGCCATTTTCTAAAGCTGAACCTATTATTCCTAGAAAGGAGGTGAGTAACCACATCATCAACTAAAAACCTGGAACCATAAGGAAAAGTCTTGTGAATCTTTCAATTAAAATGAGATCACCTTTTAAGGTAACCTGTTCTGTGACAATTTTGGTGCCTACTTAAATGTGACCTTAGAGAACTAATTCCAGTGACTAAACTCCCAACCAGGCAAAGCTAAAATTCTATCTTGACTCAAAAGCAGAATTCCACTACCTGAGTCACCTACAGAACTTCAGCAGCACCCTGGATTTTCCTGAAAGGATCCCCAACCAAGGATTAGGCAGGTTTAGCCATGTTCTCTTATGAAATCAGCTGATGACACAGTTACAGGGACTATGGCTCAAAGGGTATGGGTTGGGTTAGTGCCAACCCTGGTATAGCGCCCTCCATTAAGTACTGAGAACGCTCATCTCTAAATATCAAGACACTCTTCAAGATCAAACATCTATGTAGACTGCTCATGGCAAACGCACCACTTTTAGATCTATCCTTTCACGATGTGAAGTGTATTCAGTCCACCTTGGCTTAATTCCACCCAATTCCCATGAAATACACGTTCATTTTCAGCTGCATTTATTCATTTGCTTTTAATCCTTCTTCTCCCTGTCTCGCTTCTAGGGAGAGAATCATTTCTAAAACCCAGTATAAAAGTCAGCCTCAAGCAGCCACCACCTAGAGGAGGCTGGAAATCTTAGACTCAAAATATGTTAGAGTGAGAAGGGGCTTTGAAGATTAGCTGGTCCAAACTTAATTCAAAGGAGTTAGGATGCCCATGTTAATACTTCCAAGCAGAAGTGCGATCCCAATCTGGCTGTTGGAATTTTCACTGCATATGGCTTTGACCCAGTAATTGCACACAGAGGAATGTAGTCTACAGATAGATGTACCAGGACATTCAATGCAGCAGTTTGTAGTCAGGAAATATTGAAAGCAGCTTACCTACCAATAAGGGAATATCTTTCAATAAAAAGAGGACTGGATAAAGTGCAATATCTGAACATGGAGACACTGCCAACATGGGAAGGAGGGAAGGGGGCAATCCTTGTTTCCACAAAAGGTGTTCACAGTATGATCCCTGTAAAAGAATACTTATGCATGCGTAGGTAGGGGCTGGAGGTATGTCTACATGCATGTACATAGACAGTGGGAAGGAATGCCTGCAGGTCTGTTTTTGTTTTTGTTTTTGTTTTGAGATGGGCTCTCGCTCTGTCACCCAGGCTGGGTGCAATGGTGCTGTCTCGGCTCACTGCAACCTCCGCCTCCCAGGCTCAAGCAATTCTCGTGTCTCTGCCCCCCGAGTAGCTGGGATTACAGGCATGTACCACCATGGTCAGCTGATTTTTGTATTTTTAGGAGTTTCACCACATTACCCAGGCTGGTCTTGAACTCCAGACCTCAGGTGATCCATCCACCTCCGCCTCCCAAAGTGTTGGGCTTATAGGAGTGAGCCACTGCATCCAGCGGCAGTCCTATTTTAATAGTGGCTACCTCTAAGGAATCAGACTAGCAGAGCAGCGGGAGAGAGGGTTGTTTACATTTTATTTTATACACTCCTGTTATTCATTTTTTTAAATAAAACAAATTAAGGGATAAGATAGATGCAGGTGTGACTTCCTCTCAGGTTGATGTCCTCTCCATTCAAAGTAGTGGTGTGAACAATTTCCCAGTGCCCTAAATGTGCTTCTCAGATGGCCCCTTTCCCTCCTGTTCATATAATAGAAACATATTTAACATCCTTTACTGTTGGCTAGTGCTGGAAGTGTGATTTCTTTAAAGGCTCAGTATAATCGAAAATGATTCATTTCCCCACCAATACTCCCTGCAGCCTGTTAAGGTCGAAGCCTCCAGTGGAGGCCGCACAGGCACTGAGATGGAAGTATTGATAACTGCCCTTTCTTCCCCAGTGACTGGTGTGGGCCTTCACCGGAATATTTCCATCAACTCTGCAGAGGGTTGAGTCCTGGCCATGACAGTGTGAATATTGTCATTCAAGTTTCCCCTGGCCTAACCAGACCGTACAGATAACAGGAACCACTCCAACTCAAATTTCCCTGGTTTTTTCCATAGCCTGGGGATGGTGGACCTTTAATACCCTCTAAGGTATCTTTCAGGTATTTCTTGAGGTCCTTGCACAGTGTCTCTCAGGTACTGCTGAATAACATCCCTCCTCTAAGCTGGCCCAGGGCTTTTTCTGGCCACTGGCTGGCCAGCAGTATCTCCTGTTTGCCCCTTCCATGTACTTGCACAGCTGAGGCTCAGGAAAGCTGCAGATGTCCAGGTAACATGACATTCTCTTTTAAGTAGGAGGAACACTTCCTTCTCCCATCCCCTCATGCCAACCACAATGAGGGTACCCAGCACTGATGCCCAGCAATGTGGCTTCTGCTCCAGCATATTACATAGTTATAATTCAGAATTTCAGTTTCTCTTTGTAAGCTGCTGACTGCTCGGAGGATGTAGGCTTTCATTCCTGATAATGTATTGATTGCTTCCTCTGTGTAGATGCATACATTAATAAGCACAGGGATGAATGAAATGCCTAAGGACTCTGCCATCATGAAATTTTCTGCCTAGTCATGGAGAAAGATGATGATCAAGCAATAAAAGCAAATAAATACATAACCATAAATTGAGATAAGTGCTATGAAGGAAACACGCAGAGAGGTGTGAGAGAAAATAACGAAGGAGCTACTTTTGATCAGATGGTCAGAAAAGGTCTCCAGAGTCATGACAGTTGATATAATAACTACGAATAGAGCATATTAGAAATCCAGACTTGGAAAAAGGAAGGGGAGGGGATATTAGAAGAGATTTGTTGGGGACGATGGGGGTGGTACAAAGAGGAGGAGGAGTTAATATTTTGAGACATTACTATAAACCAGTAACATTCTAAGAACTTTACATGTATTATATTCTTTGATCCTAATACAGCCCTATGTAGGAACTATTGTTAACCCCGCTTAACAGAGGTATGAGATGAAGCACAGAAGGGTTAAGTAACTTGCCCTTGTCACACAGCTACTAAGTGGTGAAGGTGGAATTTGAATCTGGGCAGTCTCAGACCCAAGGAAGGAAAAACTTTGGATAATTTTAGCAAGTTAAAGGCCAGTGTGACTGAAATGGAAAGAAAAAAATGGGGGGAAATGGGAGAAAAATGGAGTTGGCAAAACAGCCAGAGTTGGCAAAACAGTCCATGCCATGCATGGATAGGTGGTCATATTTCATCCTCAGAGGGTGTCACAGCTGATTAATTAATACTGCTCCAAAGGAACAATATTGTTCTGAGGAGCCAGCTGTCGTCACGAAAATAATGATCACTTCTCTTACTTTTTTAGGCTGAGGTATTAGAAAACGAGAGTGCTTCCTCTATGCTAAGAAGAAGAAAGGAGCCTCAGATCCTGGAGACAGAATTACGCTCTCTGGCAGAAATGCCAACTTCATTCATAACCTAGGAAACTGCACCACTTCCCAGGACCTACCAGCAGCAACCCACTCCCTGCATTAATAGAATTATGGATGGCCAAATACAGTATTCCACTTGGGGGGTGAGTACTGGGTTAGTAATACAGGGATGAGGAAGGGCATGGGAAGGAGCCAGTTATCACAGTGGGCCTCTCTAGCGGACGATCTCCGACTTGGCAGGAGAAGCTTGGGGAGGTGCCCGTGTTCCTGGCCACAGGCTGCAACTAACAGCCTCTGTACGCCACTGCCTAACTGGGACAACAAATCCCTAGAGATGAAGAAGAAGCAGTGTCTGGTGCACCCAGCATAAACTCTGGTAAGTTAGATCCACAGAAAAAGTGAAGCGGCAATACTCTCTTGATTCTTAAGGTCAGCATCTTGTTGGTTTGCTCTTTCCTGAATTCTTTGAGGAGATTCCTCCCACCCTTAGGAAATCTCAAATTCGTCCCACAAAGGTGAATGTTAGTCTAGCCTCCTAAACTGAGTCTAATCTCATCTCTAGTCACATAAACTAGGTACAATGGGGAGGGGATTTCAAACTTTTAACTGGTTAACCTGTTCTAGCTTGTCAAGCAGTGTGGACATCCATTCTCCATGTTTCCCTCTCCAGCAGCCCCTCGATTTCTGTTTGGGGATTCGCACCATACCTGAAAGGCTAATTCCATCTGAGTGGCAAGAAAGGAACACGTGGCAGCAAGGAGGAAACAGTGTTCTGGGCTAAACCATCAGCACGTTCTGCCCCCCTTGGCCACAGTGACTGTGAGCTAAGCACAATTGTTCAGTGTGAGTCTCAGGATCTCTGCTTTGGAATACAAGATGAAGTTCCTCTGTCCCTCTTGGTGTATTTGAATAAGAGGCAAGAGTCATTTAGGAACCACAGAAGGAGTCTGACTTAGGATACAGCCAACATAAAAAAAAAATAGAGTTATGAAGAGCTGGGTCCTACATGACACCATTGAGCAGAAGGACTCCCCACCTCCTCAGAACCCTGCTCTTTTCAGGGATGCAAGTTAATTAAATTGAGCTCAACAAATATTGACAGAATGCCTCGTCATGTGCCAGACACGGTACTGGGCACTCACAATACATGAGTGCATAAAACAGGTAAGAATCCCAGTCCTCAGGGAGAAGGAGACAGACAACAGACGATAAGCAGAACAAGTGAAATGGTAGCCTGTTAGAGGATGAAAAGCATGGTGGGGAAAAGGAAAAGAAGAGCAGGTCAGGGAGATGGGAACTGGGGAGTAGAGCTGGGGATGAGGCTCTGTATTCTTTTTTTTTTTTTTTTGAGACGGAGTTTCACTCTTGTTGCCCAAGCTGGAGTGCAATGGCACGTTCTCGGCTCACTGCAAGCTTTGCCCCCCAGGTTCAAGCAATTCTCCTGCTTCAGCCTCCCGAGTAGCTGGGATTACAAGCATGTGCCACCACACCAGGCTAATTTTGTATTTTTAGTAGAGACAGGATTTCTCCATATTGGTCAGGCTGCTCTCAAACTCCCGATCTCAGGTGATCCGCCCACCTTGGCCTCCCAAAATGCTGGGATTACAGGTGTGTAATCTATAAGGTGGGGGTCTCTCTGCTACTTGTTATCCTTTACTTGCTAATAAACCCACAATACCTTAGGACATTCTAAATACCTGTAGCCCCTTTCCCCTAACACACACCCAGAGGCAAAAATTTCTATAGAATTTTTTTTAAAAGAATATGAATTACATTTGTCTAAGATTTGACTTGGGGAGGGACATTGCCTTTGAGTTCTGGATAAAGGTTGAATTCATCAGTTTTGGAAAATACATATCCACATTTTGGGGGCAGGGTGTGGGAATTAGAATGTTTCCATTTCAATCCTGTAGCACTCTGACTTTAAGTTATGCTACCTTCCTGGAGCAGCAAGATTCTTTTACTCCCGTTGTTCTGCTTCTTGAAATATACAAATAATCATCTATTTCTGTTTCCGATATTGACTTATGGAAAGTGCATCAAATTAGTATTGGCAATGCTTTAGAACTTGAGAAGTTAAATTCTGTGACTCTGATTTTCTCAGGGACCAACTCATAAGAACTATAATATTATAGCTGAGTCAAAAGCTGGTGATCAATAAGGTGAACAAGAAAGCAAGCAAGAGCAAATTAGTTTGATATAAAGATGTCTCTTCCCCCCACCATTCTGAGTACGTGGCTAGCGGCTTCCTGTGAAGGAAACACTTTGTCGGCTCTTGTCTTAGTTAAGACTGGCATTCCCCGTTTTGTACAAATCTGCGATGTTGTGTAAAAGAAGAAACTATCACCATAGACACTTGGGTCTCCTGAATATTAGGAATGATTATGTGGGAACACTAATCTGTCTCTTGCCATAGCACTCACTTTTTAGCAGTTATCTGCTCGCAGGCTATGCTTTGTTTTTGTTTGGTTTTTTGTTTTGTTTTGGTTTGGTTTTTTGAGATGGAGCCTTGCTCTGTCATCCAGGCTGGAGTGCAGTGGCGTGATCTCGGCTCACTGCAACCTCTGCCTCCCGGGTTCAAGTGATTCTCTTGCCTCAGCCTCCTAAGTAGCTGGGATTATAGGCACACACCACTACACCTGGCTATTTTTTGTATTTTTAGTAAAGACGGAGTTTCACCATGTTGGTCAGTCTAATCTCGAACTCCTGAACTCAGGTGATCAGCCTGTCTCAACCTCCCAAAGTTCTGGGTTTATAGGTGTGAGCCACCACACTCAGTCCAGGCTATGCATTTTTAACAGTGGTCCAATGCCAGACAAATTAAAGCTGTGCCCTGATAATGCCAGAAAGACACATTTACAAACATGGCCAAATTAGCCTGGTGGGCTTTCATGCAAATGCCTTGTGCCTTGACTGTTTCAGATCTCAAGCTTTCCTTAGATGCTCAGAGTTCAACTTTAGTGAAGTTGCTGCTGAACAGAGGCACCCAGAGCCGGGGAATGAGTGGGGAGAAGAATGGAAGCAGAAGAAGGTACTGTGCCTTCTCAAAGTCTCTCCCTAAAACCTAGGCGGCAAAAAAGGAACAGATCCACTCCAGGTGGACATACCTATACTATAATAATATTGATTTTTAAATTAGTGAAAAGAGACACCTGAAATCATTGGGCAACAAAAACTCTGCAAATCATGTTGAGACAATTGGTGAGTACTTTCAGCAAAAGAAAACCCTCCCCTCCTGCCAGATGACAAATTAAATTATCAGTGGATGAGAGCCAAGTACATGTGCACATAAATGCACATACACAAGTATACACGTGTGCACCCACACAGGCAAAGAACTCAAATTGTGTACGTGCCAAAAAAATAGTTGAATATTTATTTGATCACTGCTGGTGAAGAGCACTGTGGGTTTGTCGTGTAAGAAATCCCATGAGAAATGATAACAGACCTGACCACAGAAAAATGGTAAACTTCTAAAGATTAGGAAGGGTACAGACTAAAATGCAAACATCCACATAGAAAAATCTACACTAAAAAGAAGAGATAATAATCTAACATATTTGAAACATAAAGAGCTTACAAAAACTGATTAGAAAAACATGAAGATTGCAGAATAAAAATGGGCAAAGGGCACGAGACAACTCACAATAGAGGAAATATCAATAAATAAAAAACAGATGGAAAATGTTCATCTTGTTACTTAACAAAGGTGAAAATGAAAGAGCAGTAGGTAATTTTTCTTAATATCAAGTTAGCAAAAATAATTTCTTTGCCTAATCATGCTGATGAGAGCGCAAGGAAACAGGAAACCTCATACACTGCTTATAGGAGCATAAAACTTTCTGGAAAGCAATGTGCTGTTTCCCAAGAGGACACTAAGTGTTTGTATCCTTTGACTTAGTAATTCTACTTCCAAGAACTTATCGTCAGAAAGTAATTTAAAAATTCCAAAATATGGACATCATGCATAAAAGATGTTCATTTCATCATTGCTTATTTAAAAAAATGGAAGCACCCTAAATGCACACTCTTCATTTCAATATTTTTTGAGTACCTAATATGTGTCAAACAACAAGCTAGAGCAGAAGCCAAACACAGAACAGATCTGATTCTTATCCTTCCAGTACTGGGAGGAACTGCAGGTTGGAAGGAGGTGAACATTTAATCAAGTAGTTATTACACTTGCTATGGGAATGCATAGCAGAGGGACCTAGCCAGAAGGAGGGGTGACATTCAAACCAATGCCTGAAAACTGTGTGAAAGTAAGCAGAAGAAGGGGATGGCAGATGAAATATTCTGATTAATAATTCAAGAAGCAGAAACAAGGGCAGTAAAAGGATCTTGCTCCTTCAAGAAAGTACGATAATGTGTTCTGGAAAAAGGGAACAACATATTGCAAGTCCAGGAGGGGGAAAAAATGACCTAAATTAACAGCATCCTTGTATTTCTAAGTGGTGATGAAGAGAGTCCAAGCATCTGTTGGGAAGATTAGACCTCGCAGGAAACATAGTGGAGCTGCTTTCCTCCTCTTTTTGTGATTAATTTTACATATTTTTCACGTGTTAGTTTAAATGTCACCTTCTGTGGTTAGGTCCCCTCTGCTACGCACTCCTGTAGCAAATGTCACAATTATTTGATTAAAAGTTTATCTCCTCCCAGACTGTAAACTCTGCAAGGGTAAGAATTATATCCACCTTGTGGATGGGCAAGGTGGCTCACACCTGTAATCCCAGCAGTTTGGGAGGCTGAGGATCACCTGAGGCCAGGAGTTCGAGACCAGCCTGGCCAATATGGTGAAATCCCATTTCTACCAAAATTCCAAAAACTTAGTTGGGTGTGGTGGTGCACACCTGTGGTCCCAGCTACTTGGGAGGCTGAGGTGGGAGGATTGTTTGAGCATGGCAGGAGGAGGTTGTAGTTGTGAGCCTAGATTGCACCACTGCACTCCAGCCTGAATGACAGAGCAAGACTCCTTCTCAAAAAAAAAAAAAAAAAGAATTTAATCTGCCTTGTGTTTGGCTTCTTTCTGTTCTAGATCAGTGTTTGACACATATTAGGTGCTCATAATGGAGTTAGGGAGTGGCCCACCACCAGGAAGCAGAGGCTTCTCACATGGGACGATGGCTGTGTGGTGTTGTGGAGGGATAAATCCAAGGTGCCGTGTCTTGAATTCATCAGTGAAGACATGAAGGCCTGGTCCATCAGGAGGACCGCTACCACCACAAGGGAATGAGGGATGGTCGTCATGTTGGACATACCTCTACGGTCTGGGTCTGTCATGCTCTAGGGTTTGTGATGTATGTCTGAGTGTGTGCTTATATCTCCAAGGGAACGGGAGTGACATCCCCAAACACGAATGAGGTTAACTTTTCTAAAGGACATTGTTTAGTGGCTGGGCACAGTGCCTCATACCTATAATCCCAGCACTTTGGGAGGCTGAGGCAGGCGGATCACTTCAGGTCAGGACTTTGAGACCAGCTGACCAACATGGTAAAACCCTGTCTCTACTAAAAATACAAAAATTAGCTGGGCATGGTGGCATGTGCCTATAATCCCAGCTACCCAGGAAGCTAAGGTAGGAGAATGGCTTGAACCAGGGAGGCGGAAGTTGCAGTGAGCCAACATCACACCACTGCACTTCAGCCTGGGCGACAGAGAGAGACTGTCTCAAAAAAACAAAACAAACAAACAAACAAAAAACCAAGAACATTGGTTACTGTAGCCAAGAAAGATTTTTGACTTAAAAAATAAATCTGTTATCCATGCAGTGTGTGGATGAAAAAAAAGTCCTTGTTACAAATAAGATAAATATTACATAATCATTAATAAGATTGTTTATGAAGATTTTGTAATGATGTGGGAAAGTGGTTATGATATAAACTTAAGCAAAAGAAAAAATAAATGCCAAATTATTAAAATAGTATATTGTTAGCTTTGCTTACACACACAAACACACACACACACACACACACACTCCACAAAAAGCAGGAATATACTTCATTCTGTTAGTGGTGGTTATCCCTGAGTGACATTTTGTAGGATGTTCCCCTGCTTTTTTAGTTTATTGTACATTCCAAATTATTAGATTAGTATATTTTACCTTTACAAATGGCGATTATACATTGTAACAGTTTCAGAATCTTAAGATCTTAAGAGACTAATCTTAGTTCTATAGCTAGCACATAGTAGCATTGCATAAATATTATTCAATCAATTAATGAAGTCATCACTTCATCACGAGTGTACACAAAGTATTAGAACTGTTGGGATGTTTGTATGTGCACAAGCCCCATCAA